GCCGCGTCCCCTCGACCATACCAAGGGCCAGTACCACATTGGCGAAGTTTACACACAAAAGCCCGGATCCAAGAAGAGGAAGAGACTGGAAGTTGTTGTTGGCGTGGACGGAGAAGCAGCCAACATTTACCATGTAAGTAGCTGTATCGGGGGACCTCCTCAATACAGCGTCTAACAGTTGCTTAGGTGCCCTCGTCCGGTCTGCGAACATCGTACCCGATTCCGCCTCAAGAGTCCTTCACTTGCGCGCCGCACTCGATCCGATTCCAGGGAGAAGGCTCAAGCGGTCGCAACAACTACACATACCTCTCCACAAGAGACACTACCGGCGCAAAGGTTACCCTCTGCCGCGATGTGATCGACACGACTGGCAAGACAAACTCTGCTAGCACGTCTCAGCGAGTGCGCCATAAGTCCCCAATCACGCATCTGTTTACCTCCGCCGCCGTCGATACCACCATTCTCAGCGAAAACCAGTCTGACAAGGGCCATGTTGTTGCTCTGTGCAAGGACGGCCAGGTCTTGTGCCTGGACGGCGAGGCATTGGAGCAAAAATGGAGCACATCGTCATACAGCCTCTGCAAAGATCTGCTTCCTGCAACCGTCTCGAACTACGAGGTGGAGTTCTCTCTACACGCTGCGGCATCGGATGTCTTGAATGGACTGTTTCAGGGCAGACAGGACGCCTTTGGCTCTTTCGGACGCCAGATCGACTCCAAGACCTTCAACCCCGACGTCCTCGCCTTTGTCGCACGCACTACCGGCGAAGGAATCACCTCAAGATTCCTCATCATCTTCGGTATCATTCCTACGGCGCCTTCGCAGCCGCTGGTTCAACTCCACGTCACGCCCTTGCCTTCGCAAGACGAAGTTGGCGCCGAATCGGCCACATATCAGCTCCATACCCAGTCAGGAAAGCTGCTTCAGCTTTACGGTTCGGTCCTCCGAACGTACGATCTGACGAGCGCCGTGCCCAAGTTGCAAGGCAGTCTGCCTCTGCCGGATTTGACTTCTTTCCTACAACTTTCAGAGCACTCGGTTCTGTGCCTATCAAAAACCTCCGCTAGCATGATGAATCCTACCTTCCACTCGATCCAGGCTTCGACAGCAGTCGAGTTCCCCGAGGCCACGGAGCAGCAGAAGCCAACGCTCGTGACTTTCCTGTCAAAGCTCGACATGGCGGTAGCGGTTGTCGGCAACACTCTGGTGTCCATACAGATTGAGCGCCCCAAGTCTCATAACAAGGAAGGCCTTCTCATCGATTCCATCGGCAGAGGTCTGCCGAGGTCTGACCGTGTGCCAGCAAGCCTTCCCAAGGCTGGCAACGAAACCTTTGAAAACTACCTCCCAGGAACACTGTCTGACGAATATGTCAAGGAGTCTCTGGCTGATGTCGTGAGAGCGGATGGGTTTATGCAGGCACAAGACTGGAAGTCATTCGAAGCCCTGCTTGCGCAAAGATTCGGGGTCGCAGTGCAACAGGAGGTGGTCTCTAATGAACTCCAGACGCCAACCTGGAAGTGGCTGGCTGAATCAGAAGCGTACCCTGCCGTTGACCGCAGGTGGGTGCTCTATGCCATCAGCAGAGTCTTCTCGATGGAAATTCAGAGCCCCGAATCGGCCATCCTTCGATGCAACCTGCCCGCAAGCAACGTCTTGATCTACCTCGTTGCTGCTGGCCACCTCACGAATGCCAACATGTGTGCGGCCTTCAAGAGTGAGCTTGCCGAGGTGGCACCCAAGGATTCGGTCATTGACAAGCTGGTTCAGAATCTCGTCGCAATGAACCCTGCCATGGAGCTGCTCCTCAGCTATGTCACGGCAACCAAGCTCGGCGAGAAGGACTTGCTGGTGGTGGTTCGCGCTATCATGCAGACCCTCAACATGAAGCCGCCGCAAGAGCTGGTTGCGCTGACGGAAACCGAGCAAGAAGAGGACGTGGCGATGGAGATTGAAAAGACGGAACAAACGCTGGAAATGGCCGAGGTGGCCGTGTATCACATGGACGACGACCGCAACCTCCGCGAACGAGCTCTCACAACAGCATTCGAGAAGCTCGCAAGCTACTCGTCCATCGCGACGGTGCGCGCCCTCCGCGAGACCCTCAGCCCGACGGAGATTCTGTCACTCATCGACACTCTACGCACACAACTCTACCGCGGCGCCTGGACATCACGGTACTTTGACATGACAGACATGGACAAGGACGAGGCCGCGGGAACACCACCGGATGGCACCATTTCTCTCATTGCAGAACTCATTTCCCGCTGCATTGATTCCATCGGCCTCAGTGGATGGCTTACAAATGGAGCGTCCTCCGTGGGCGGCCGTGCGGACGCGCTTGAATTCATTACCAACCTGAGCAACGAAGTCAGCGCGGCCCTGACCGGTTTGCACGAGACAGTCCTTCTGGACGGCTACGTTGGCGAAGCGGTTCAGTATGGCCGAACAGCAAAGACGGGATCATCAGCCAACGCGGCTGCTTCCGCGCGCGCTGGGGCCCTCGCTAAGCCGGTCTCCCTTGACGTGGAACTCTCGACTCGCTTGCCTCTGGGCCTCGTGTCCAAGCAGCATGTGTCTAATCAAAAGATCGTTTCGGGCGGCGAGGTGCTCGAGAGGAGCTCGCGTGAGAGAGGACACCTGCTGAGTCAGAAGGTCAAGGCGTACTCACTGGAAAGGATCTCCATTTGAGCCGCATGTCAGATGAAAAAAGTAATTTATCGAGGGGATCTGAGGCTCCACCAGACGAGCGTGTGAGATTATCGGGCTTTGAAGTAAAAAGTTCAAGGCTGAAGACAAACAAAATTCGGAGGAGGCTCTGCACGGGCTGATGGTTTGGGGCAATAGAACCCGCCCTGTGACAGTGTAGCCTGCGAGTAAGGAATAGGAAGAGAGGGAAAAAAGCGTAGAGAACGAGGACAAGCCAGAAAGTGAAGTGCTCAAAAAGATACCATGAACGGATACCGAAGCGTACATCTCCCCCCTCTCGTCGACCGCGACATCGGTTACATTCGGTGAAGGCCAATCATGTGGTCAATTATGAGCCACCTTCAAACATTGAACAACTCCCATGTGTCCCCTCCCAATGGACTTTCTACCTAGCATAATAGACTTTGCATTGATCGATTGATCGAACAATGGAAATCATCGACCGAATTCTAGCGCCAGCTGGCATGAGGAATTGGGCTAGGTACGGCAGGGCTGACTTGAGATGCACCCTTCCTTGACCAGACGAATCGGAACGCTGAAACTCACCCGTCGGTGTGACAGACCACTTACAGCTGAGGCATTTCGAGAGAAAGCAGGAGGTGTTTCTCGAGGACTGATTAAATTGGATGTACACGATTCAGAGCACGATAGTCTCCCAGGGTGATTGGTTGGCTGCTTCGGAGAGATTCTGTTTGCTGATGAATCTCTACTTCTATGGCGCTTAGGCCCTGAGCATTTTGACTTTGTCGGCAAGCGATCTGTTAGAGCAAGTCAGGCGGTGAAGCAAAATCTAGCTTCTGAATAATCAAGAATACGGTTTCAACATCTATTGCTGAGCCGCTTCAGCGATACCTCAATCCTCGGCTCGTCAATAGACATGTGGCAGTAGGCAGAGACAGACTAATACGTGATACCGCTGACAGAAGCTGATAGGAGGGGGGCCATATGCACAGATGCCCAAGCTCCATATCTCGAAATGCTTCAGGGCGCATGCTCCCGTCTCAAGTGACTTCACGGCATTGGGCGGGTTGAGTCTCCGTGTTGCTGTCCGGTACTTTGGACAAGATGAGATGCCGAGAGAAAGAAGCAGACGAGAATCTGGCAAGCCTCGCTCTCTGCCGTCTTACAAGCCGGTCCACAAAAGTCTTGAATGCAGAAACTGTACGGTACGACCCTCACGAGCTGCAGGTGAAGAGAACAACAGACTATCGATTTCACTAGATCGATGGAGAAAGGTGGCTTTGCACATTCGGGGCTCTGCTGAGGGATTGTGCGGGGGAAGCGAATGAGGCCCTTGAAGTTGCATCGTGGGTAATCGTTGGCAGTTCATGGCAGATCTCAAGGCAGATCTGATTGGATGCTGACGATGCAACCGATGCAAAGAGTCCTATCTCAAATGGTTAGCGGCGACGCTTGATGTGGCTTGTCGGGCAGCTTTTCCTGCGCCCTCTTGCTGCATGTCCAGCGAAGACGTAAGAAGAATGGGTTGCCTGCCGGTCAGCTACTTGGAAGGCACCGCCGTGACAGGTATGCTTTGCGTCCGGAAATCTTTGGAGGGATTGAGGGAATGTGGATAGCATCGGAATCAAGCACATTTCGACAACCTCCCGTGATGAAGGGCGGAAAGATGCATGGACAAGGCAACGCGCTTAAGGTTGTACAGTGTCCTTGTCACAAAGTGAGAAAAAGGAACCACGAGATCAGACCAACTTAGGAAAAGGAGTCATAGACGAGAGTTTGTCGGCGAGCATCACAGCGAAGAGACAAAAAGCGCGGTTCTCACACCGGAAATATCGGCTTCTCGATGTACGAAGGATGCCTTGCATCCAAAGTCCCGCAGCGACGAGAGCCGTGTTGTTGCCGCAGTGGCATTCGTCAGCAAATGACTTCTTGTCCCGGGTCTCCGGTGTTTCCAGTTGCCCGCTCTCAAGTCTCGACTCTATTCTACACGCGTTGTAATATCGATGGAGATGCAAACGAGCTGGCTGAACTTTGGAGTGGGTTTCGAAACGGACCGTCTTCTACAGACAGCTCTGACTCTTACACGAACCCTGTTTCTTACCAATGACATGTTCAAATCCCTTCCAGGACCCTGACGGATGGGCCGAATGGGACAGAGCTTCTAGAAGCCGTTTTTAGCGTCTTCTCGTGTTCGACTCGATGATACGGATACCGGAGACGCCTTTGGGGCCTTGGATTCCGGAGTTCCTCTTCCCCCAGGGCCAAGACGAACCGACATGCAGAGTCGAACCCAAAAAGAAACCCGTTCTTTCGCCCCCCCTGCCCGTATTTCAATCGGTGTTCTCAGAGGGGAGCTGCAAGTGCTGTTCCGTATTCTGTGCAGCAGCGAGGATACCCACATCGACTGGAACGCCGGGTATGCAGGACAGCACGAACGAGGCCCTAATAGAGACAAGGACGAAGAAACTTGAGCGCGCTGCGCTGCTGGTGCTGCTGGAAATAGGATCTCTCGGGGTCCGCCGAGAGGCAAGAAAACCAACTACGACGCTACCGTGGGATACCTGCCAGAGCGCAACAAAGTTGTCACTTGTCAGAGCTCGCTCGTGTGCCCGACTTTTGCCCCGCTGCAACTTGCCGAGCGCTACAGAGTCCCCTTCGCTGTCACTGTGTGTCGAGTTGAAGCGCATAGCACCAGGGCCAGGGCCAAGCAAGGTTCTAATCGAAAGGCTTCTGATCTCCGTCGTGGCCCCTCTCCGCCGTCCTCTTGTTCGACGCTATCTGTCTGGATGTCTGCCTTGGCGTCGTCCCCATTGCTTGACGTTTGGTGCTTACAGGAGTAGCTCGCCGACCACAGGATGCCTTTCCCGGGGCCGCTGGGCATTCTGTGCTCGCCCTGCCTGTGAGGTAGAATTGAATTGTTACTGCTCACGCGGGGCTGCGTTCCTGTTTGAGGCTTGGCGAGGGGCAGCCCTCCAAAGTGGCTCTCTGGAAGAGTCCGAAGGGAAGAGCTCAGAGCGTACAGGGCATACAGGATGTAGGGGAGCTGCACGGCGCTTCCTGGATTGCTGCTCGCCCCTCGATTCATCCAGACGGGTGGCGCAGGCGGCAACAGGGACACCCCAGTAGCCAAGGGTGGCGCGTTCCTTTCTCCCCCGGAGAAACTGCGTATGGTGATGATGCCGCTGTTCCAAGAGAAAGAGAACTCGGACCACATGGTTGGCGAGGATGGGTGAATCCGAAAGGGTTCAGTTCAGGTACAACGTTACGGATTGCCGGTACATGTGCTGCTCAGTGTCAATCCAAGGCCAAGCCCTGTCGTTAGCATGACGCCCGTGATGAGTTGAGGTGAAGGGTCGAGGATAGGCATTACAGCCCTATGGAGAAACAAAATCTCTCCAAAACACGCCGGGGCTATTTCAGGGTGATTGTTTACGAAACTTTTCATGTTCAATCAGCTCGGCGATATCATGGTCGCTCTGAAGATTGGTAGACGCTATTTCCGGCAGTTGAAAGGGCGTAATGCAAGATTACCCTGGCAGCTAGGGTTGGCAAACAAATGCCGCGACTGAGTCTCAAGTTCATTGATGAGATTGTGAACAGCGAGGAACAGAGAGATTTGAAGAAGGGATGAATCATGAATGATAGCTTCACAAGATCGAGTCTGGTGGTTGCCTACCTTACCACCACATCCACGATCTACGGGGGTCTCTGCAATGTATCTTCTCGGCAGAGTGAAGGTGGAGAGGTACATGGAAGAGATATCCAGGCTCTCACAGAGACATATACAACGCAAGAGACACCACCCTGACTCCGGATGTCACTGCCCTGAGAGACACATAAGCAGTCTGACACAGCAAGAGTGACCTCTGACCACTTACTAGTTACAATACCTACATACCTACCACAGTAAGTAGGCCACTGACCCAAAGGAAAGGGCTGGAGAGAAAGGGTCTTCTGCTCCGGCCGTGCAGCTAGTCCCAGGCGGGCAGCAGATGGTGCAGATCCAACCGTCAGTCCGTCACTGACCCCCTGCCACTGACGGCCCCCCTGTCTCGTCTTCTGCGTGCCCCCGGACAGTATGATTTCATGGATCTGGAGCGAATACGTCACTGCAGGAAGATGGAGCGTGGAGCAGGAGCGTGGAGCTTGCTTCTGTTTGTCGCGTTTCCAGTTTGCTGCGCGCTCCTCGTCTGCGTATGGCACCTCCCACATCCCACCAGCCAACCACCACCGACAGCAAGCAGCAAGCACTACATCACAAGCTCATCTCAGCCCCTCCCTCTCTTTCTTTCTGCTACCTACTTTGTAGTTGCCAGCAGCAGCACCAGGGAAAGAGTACTTGCCGGCTTCGGTCTGCCTCGACATCCAGCTGATGCCTGGTGTGCCTCTTTGATCCCCCTTCTGCCGATGCAAGTCAGAAGTCACTCTATTCTCTCTGTCTCTGCAGTATTAGCTCTCGAGTGAGTTGAGTCATCCGCGCAACTTTGCTCTGGCCTTCTGCGCTTGATAATCGACGAGAACCTCTACATCATCACTCGCGTCTCCCTCAGCCAGCTGGCAAGTCCAGCACTTTGCTCAAACCCTCGGGCCTCTACTCCCTCTACACCATCGTTTACAAGACAGGATAGACCTATTGGGCACGGCGCAGATCCGCTGCCTTAACGGATACCGGTACACGCGAACCCATCACCAATGAAGTCTGCCCCCCTCCACCTTCTTTACTACTATGTACTGTGTAATGAAGAAGGGCACTCGTCAAAGCTGTGCTCCCCCTCCATCCCACGGTACATCCCAAAGTCGACTGTTTCTCCCAAGCGACGCGGGGCCGAGTTGGAGTCGCCCTCGGGTTGCGACCACATGATTAGCTGCCACACCCAAGGCCATGGACTCAAGTAGAGTACACCGGTGAGGTACAACCTGACCCCCCCTGTCTGCGTTTCCCTTGCCTTTTCTTCCCTCTCCCAAAAAGGCACAAGTGACAGTTGAAGTCATTGTCAGCCATCCGGTTTACTGTACGTACGAGTACGTTCCATGACAATATCGCCATGAGGCCCCGTTTCGGGTCACCACCACCTACCTCCTTTGCTCCTCGCTTGGTTTTCTGCTGGCCTCGCCTGGATACACCTTGACAAGCACACAAGCAAGGCCTTGGTTCATGATTTACCCGCCTGTCTATCTGTATCCGTAGTGTACCTCATCGCCTCTCTATCTCTTCTCCTAACTCTGTACGGAATACTTGATACTCAGAGGGCTGAGTAACTCTACTTCCTGCCGACTCTTGGACTCCAGCTTTTCGGTGAAGCAGATCAGGACAGGATTTGGGGAAGTTGTTATTCTCGGACCTCACGTTGCACATCACAAATCAACACTCTCTCGCCCTTTCTCACTTCTCTTCCTCTTGAGACAGACCCCTTCTTCTCTTCATATCTTCCCCTGCGGACCAACCTTTCCCTTTTCAACCCTCATCCTCCGTCCGTCACCCACGTTCTCGTTCCCGGGGCCCCTGCTACATCTAGAACCTCGCAGCCTCTCCTCTGATGCCACATCTTTATTGCTGTGCCTGACTTGCATCACTTTTCCCTGGTCTTAACCCGCCCTCCCTATTGCGTATGGCTGTCGATCACACCCGACACAGCGTCCCAATACATCTATCGCCTACCCGCAAGAGCGCACTATCTTAGACGGACGTTGATTCCTCCCGTCTCTCTCCCTCTCCATCGCATCGACACCAACAACCACCAAGAAAAAATCACACCCGCACAATAGTCACTGCTCGTCGACCGAGCAGGAAACCTCACCAATCCTGACCACAACCATAACGACCCCATCACTCTCTCGTGATGAGTAACGGCAACTCACCCCCCAGTCTCAGAGCTGTTGATGCCTTTGCGCGCGCCTTATACCGTCGCGCCAAGGCATCCGGACCAGATTTCGACGACGTTGCCAACGTCGTCCGTCGCCTGCACACGGTCCTCAAGCACCTCAAGGTCGAGTCCGAAGACCAAGATTCTCTCCTTAACTCAGATGCCTCATCCGTTTATAACCGCCAGCTTGCTCCCCTCGTTGAGGACTGCGACTTTGCCCTCAAGCAGCTCGAAACCATGATCGAAAAATATGGCGAGAGTACACAGCTTGAAGAGCGCGAGCGTGACATGTTGGCCATGGTTCGCACGAAACTTGCCAACCAAGAAACCGCCATCGATATGTTTCTCGACACAGTACAGCTGCACAACCCCAGCAAAGCCCAACGCGTAGTGGACGAACAAGGCGGAAACTTGGACAACATCAAGGACAAGGTGGATGCCATTGCAGCAAGGTTATTTGCTCGGAGAGACAGCGGTGTTGGCGACGACGAAGAAGACCTTTGGCAACAGTTCCGGGCCGAGCTGGAGAAGGAGGGCTTCTCAAAGGAAGTGTTGCGCAAGAACAAGGTATGATGATCTTGAACACCGAGCCGGGAACAAAGCTGTTGCTAACTCACCTGAACAGGAGGTTCTGCGTGCCTATATTCGCGAACTGGAACATTCAACTGGAAATGATGCCACGGCACCACCCTCGGTTCGCGGTCTCCTCGCCCAGGAGCGCGCATACCCTCATCCAGCCATGGCGGTTACACCTGCATCCTACCAGAGCCGCGACAACTATGGTCCTGGAGAGACGTACGGTTCATATGATGACAAGTATGCTCCGGCTGTAAGGGGTGACCGCCGTATGGCTGAGCAGCGCTCCGCTCCCAACGTGCCAAACGAGCTCAGTACTCTTTCCACTTATGGACGGGAACATGGCGCGGACGATAAGCACAACGACTCTCTCGCCCTCATCTCAACTCGCGATCTCATGGCTTTGGATACCATCAACCACGGCATGGATAACCTTCGCCTCACTGCCGCTCAAAATTACAGTACTTCCCCTTCATCTACTTCACCGGCAAACCGCTATTTACCACCAGATGTTGCAGCTGCCCGCGCTGCAGCAGACTTCTCCTCCTCGCCCTCCAACCTAGGCGTATCACCACGCTTCGTACCTCCAATCCCTTATCCCAACAGCCACGGTGGCCCTCCTTCCGCATATGGTGCATCCCCACGTACGTCCCAAAGCCGTCTTGCACCGGATCGCTACGGCATGGATATTCCCCTGGAAGCCAAGTGGACGCGCATTCGCCGTGCCCTCATCTCCCCCGAGATCCTTGAGCGTGCTGGCGTCCGCTATGAGGCTCGCCCAGATTACGTCGCAGTCCTCGGTGTCCTCAGCCGTGAAGAGATCACCAACTACGCTCGCCTCTCTGCCGAGGCCCGCGCTGCACGCTCTTCAAGACGTCACAACGACGGCCCCCCGCCAACAGGTGGTGCAACGCAAGGCTCACCTCGCCGGCGCGGTGATTCACATACCTCATCATCAGAGGAACCCCTGTGGGACTCGTCCGACAACTCGTCAGAAGCCAGCTACCCCGACGAGGAGAAAGGAAACAAGACATACTACATTGTTCCCCCTCCCTCAGACAAGGAAAAGGGCACGTCACCCGCCGCAACCGTTCAGCCAAAGCCCATCCTCAAGAACAAGAACGAGAACCACGTCCGCTTCGACCCGCAACCTCATGAGCTCGACCCCCACGCCTCGTCTCCCCGCTCCCATCGCGACGACCGCGATCGGAGGAGAAGGCCCTCGCGCCGCGAGCCCAGGGACTACGAGAGCAGGGACCGTGACGGCCACTACAGAGATCGGGAGCGGGAACGTGACCGAGACCGCGGTGATCGTGAGAGGGACCGCGACGGCCACAGAGACCGCCACCGTGACCGGGACCATTATCCCAGCCGTCACCATCGCGAGCGATCTGACCGCGACAGGCGAGACAAGAAGAAGGCCTGGGGCGAGACGCTGGGTGCCGTGGGCATCGGTGGTGCTGCGGCCAGTCTGCTCAGCGTCCTCACTGAGGCAGCTTCTGTGTTGTGATCCTCCAACGCAACTACCTACCTGTCTATCATACCTACATACCGTCTTTTCTAGTCTTTTAGTTGTACGATGGCTAGTTGATTGGAGACTTGGACCCCCGGTATCAAACAACGTACCGTTCTTAGGAGCTGGCGCCCTTGTTTTCCTTTCTACATATTCTTCTAGCGTTTACCATTGGGGCTGTGCCCAATACACATTTTGATCCGACGAGAACAGCAATTAGGAATACAGGACATTTAGGGAGATGGGAAAGGAAATCTTTTG